AGAACCACCCCCCCACCGGGGGTCAGGAGCCCCCCACATGGGGATCAGAGTCCCCCAAACACAGGGGTCAGGAGCCCCCAGACACAAGGGGGTCAGAAAGCCCCAAACACAGAGGTCAAGACTCCCCCAACCAGCTCAGAACCCCCCAGACAAAGGGCTCAGAAGATCCCAAACAGGGAGGTCAGGACTCCTCCCACATGAGGGTCAGAGCCCCCCAAATGATGGGGGTCAGGACCCCTCTACTCATGAGTCAGAGCCCCCCATCATCCCCCCCATCCCAGCCCCCCAGTCACTCTCCATCCTCTGTACAGCCTTTATTGCGGGCGGGGGGCTCTGCTCGAGGGGGGACCCGGGGGGGCACAACCCGGGGGGGCTGGGGGGGCCCAGACCCCTCCAGCACCCGGGGGGTCCCTCCCCAGCCCCTGCCCTGGCAGCCGGGGTTGGGGGTGGCACGAGGCCCGTGGGGAGGGGGTGGGGAGGGGCCTGGCATGGCCCGGCATGGCCCAGTTTGGCCCAGTACGGCCCAGTTTGTCCCGGCATGGCACGGCACGGCGCGGCACACGGCAGACGAAGCGCAGGCAGCGGGCAGGGGGGCGGCCGGGGGGGCACAGGCGAAGCTGCTGAGGCCGGATTTGGGGGGTGTTTGCTGGCGGGGGGGGCCGGGTCCCAGTGTCCCGGCGCCGGCTAACTGGTGCCCAGCGGGAAGGTGGGCGAGTGGCGCTCGGTGCCGATGGGGCGCGGGGGCACCTCGGAGAAGCCCACGTGTCGCCGCTCTGGGGACAAACAGGGGGGGTCAGCGGGGGCGTGGCAGCACCGGGGACACCGGGGGCATGGGGGACACACACCCCACGTACCCCCAGTGCCACCGTCCTGCTCCTGCCCCGGCTCCTCCTCATCACCCTCGTCGCCCTCGGGGTCCTCGGGGATCTCGGACACCGTCAGCGCCTTCAGGTCCTCCTCGCGCTCGTCGATGCCGCCGGCGAAGGAAACCTTCTGCCCGCCTGTGGGGGGACAGGATGGTGGCCCTGGCGGCACCCGATGCGGGGTGGCCCCGCTGCAGCACGGGGGGGACGGAGCCCCCAGTCCCGGTGCCTGCCCGGCACCCCCGGGCGAGGGGATGCAGCAGTTGGGTGGGTGGGTGGGTGGGCACAGATCTTTGTGGTCCCTGTGACCCCACCATCCCCATGCCAATCCTCCCACCATCCCCATCTCCTTGTCCCCCGTGCCACACCCACCCCTCCCTGTCCCCATCCTCTTGCCACCCCTGGCCCCCCACCATCCCTATCCCTCCACCGTGCCCGTCCTCCTGCCACCCCATTGCCATCCCCGTCACTCTGCCCTCCCTGTCCCTCCCACTGTCCTCATCTTCCTGCCATCTCCATCCCTGTCCCCCCATCATCCCCATCCTTCCACCATCCCTGTCCCCCCACGGTCCCCATCCCCTCACCATTCCCACCTTTGTCCTCCCACCATCCCCATCCCTCCACCATTCCCATCCTCCCACCACCCCTGTCCCCCCACCAACCCCATCCCTCCTCCATCCCCATCCCCTCTCTGTCCCCATCCCGTTACCTTTCCGCTTGTGCGCCTTGAGCCCCGCGGGGAAGTAGCTCCTCTCTCTGCCCTGGCTCCCCGGGGCTGCCCGGGCAGGGGTGGATGAGGCCGGGGCAGGGGGAGGCACGGCCGGCACCGGGGGCACCGCCGGTGCCGCGTCAGCCCGCGGCCGGGGGTCCCGCTGGCGTCACCCGGCCCCGCGGGGGACAGGGACACGGCCCGGCGGGTGAGTGGGCAGCAGGGACGCAGGGACGGGCAGCAGGGATGGGCAGCACCGGCAGCAGCCAGTCTGTGTCCTCCCCGCCCCCCTGGGCACCTCCCCTGCCCCCGAGGGCTACAGGGGATGGTGGTCCCGGTCCCTGCTCCAGCAGCCCTGTCCCCATCTCCACGTGCCCCCCGGGCTCCAGAAATCCTGTCCCTGTGTTCCCTGGGCTCCAGAAGCCCCAATCCCACAGCCCAACATCCCCTGGGCTCTGGGACCCCCATCCCCACATCCCCCACATGCCCCAGTCTCCCTCAGCCCCGTCCCCGTGCCCCCCTCACCAGACTCGAGGCCGCTGTCGGGGTCGCAGCCGTGCTCCCCGTCATCGGGCTCCCCGTCGGAGCTGTCCCCCCCTCCCAGGCCGCTCTCCTCCAGGTGGGACTGCACGATGCGCTGCACGGCTGGGGACACGCCGGTGTCACCGGGCACTGGGGGCACTGGGAGCACTGGGGTCTCCCCCCCAGAGGGGCCCCAGCCCCCCTTTTCCCCCCAGTGCCCCAGTGTCCCCCCCAGTGCCCCAGTGTCCCCCCAGGTGGTACCTTTGAGCGAGGGTGGGGTGTAGGCACACGGGTTGGTCCTCTTTGGTTTGAGCAGGCAGCCCTCGCCCGAGGAGCGCTGTGGGGGGAGCGGCGCTGGGATGGGGGGTCCTGGTGCCCCCCCCACACCAGAGGAGCCAGAGGGAACCAGGCCCCCCCCCAGCCAGATGGGTGCTGCGATGGGGGGGGGTCTCACGATGGGGCCCCAAGGCAGACACAGCCCCCCCCATGGGGACGTGGTGTTGGGGACCCCCGTTGTGGGGACCCTGCCATGGAGACCCTGGGTTTGGGGCCCGGCCATAGGGACATGGCATTGGGGACCCCACAGTGGGGGCCCCTCCATGGGGACACAGCACTGGGGACCCCCTGATGGCCACGGGACCGTTTGCACTGTGGCCAAACCCCACAGCCTGGCTCGGCTCCGTGTCCCTGTCCTGTGTCCCCGTCCTGTGTCCCCGTTCTGTGTCCCCGTTCTGTGTTCCCGTCCCCAGCGCTGGCACCGTGTGCCCGTCCCGGGAGGGAGCCGATAAGCACCAGGCGCCAGGGCTGGGCCCCGATAACCCCCGGGGGACACGGGACAGGGGGACAGGGCTGTGTTAGGGAGGGGGTCCTGGTGCCCACTCACCTGGTAGGGCAGGTTCTCGTCCTCTGGGTTAGCGGTGCCAGGGAGAGAGGGATGAGTGTGAGGGGGGCTGCTGGCACCCCTGAGCCCCTGCTCCATGGGTTATCCTACCACAGCGTCCCCTCCCTGCCACCCCATTCCGTATGTGGCACCCCGTCCCCTCCCCGCCACCATGTCCCATCCCAGACATCCCATTCCACGGGGGACACCGCATCCCACCCACCACCACCCCACCCACCACCACGTCCCCTCCTTGCCTCCATGTCCTACCCCAGACATCCCATAACGTGCAGGACACCATGTCCCCTCCGTGCCACCATGTCCCATCCATGACATCCCGTTCCACAGGGGACACCGCATCCCATCCCTGCCACCACGTCCCGTCCCAGACATCCCATAACATGCAGGTCACCGTGTCCCACCCCTGCCACCACCTCATGTCCCTCTATCAGACGTCCCCTGCCCCGTGTCCCAGCCCTGCCCCGTGTCCCACCCGTGTCCCTCTCACCTGGGGAGGAGTGTTCGGAGAGCTGGAAGAGCATGGCCGGCGTGGGCCTCCTCCGGCGGATCTGGGGCACAGCGGGGTGTCACGGGCTGGGGACGCCCCGGGTCCCCTGTCCCCTGCCCTGCGCCCCGGACACACGTGTCTGCACGTGTGTGAGGGTGTGTGTGGGAGCGGGGACACGGACCCACCGCCCCGGGGCCCCCACGCTGTCCCCGGTCCCTCCCAGCCCCACGAGAGCCCCAGCTCCTGCCGGGCCCCTCCGGGAGGGCTCCGGGTCCGGCATGTGCTGGGAACGTCCCCTCGGATCAGGCACAACCAGTGGGGGTGGCTCCACTGTCCCCCAGTGTGTCCTGTCCCCTCCGTCCCGTCCCCGTCCTCATCCAGTCCCCTCCATCGAATCCCTTCCCTCCTGTTCCCTCTCTGTCCCTGTTCCTGCCCTGTCCGCCTCTACAACTCTCCCTCCGCGGGACCGCGGCTCCCACCGGGACCTTGGAGCTCTCTCCTTGTCCCATCCTGTGTCCCCCATCCAGTCTCGTCCCCTTTAACCCCCGTCCCGTGCCCTGCCCTCTCTGATCCCCCTTGTCCTGCTCTGCCGGTACCATCCCCTCCCTCCTGTCCCCTCTGTCCCCTCCGATCCCCCTTGTCCTCCTCCCCGGTTCCATCCCCTCCCTCCCCTCTGTCCCCTCTCACCTCCCCCTTGTCCCATCCCATCTGCCCCAACACACCCCTCACGTCCCCTCTGTCCCCTCCGATCCCCCTTGTCCTGCTCTCCCCGTCCCATCCCGTGCCTCCTGTCCCTTCTGTCCCCTGTCCTATCCCCTCCAATCCCCCTCGTCCTGCTCTCCCGCCCCACCTTGTCCCCTCCCGTCCCCTCCGACCCCCCTTGTCCCATCCCGTCTCTCCTGTCCCTTCCAATCCCCCTTGTCCCATCCGCTCCCTCCTGTCCCCTCTGTCCCCATCCCGTTGTCCCCGTCCCTTCCCGCCCCACTTCAGCCCCCCGGGGCTCTCCAGTGTCCCCCCCCCTCATCCCCCCCGGTTACTCCGGGGGTCCCCGCACCCCTCTTTCCCCCCTCACCATCTCGACGGCGCGGGGGTCCAGCTGGCTGGGGGGGGCCGGCACGGAGAACTGGATCTTCTTGCGCTCCTTGGGGTCCATGGCCTTGGCCGGGAGTCACCGGAGCCGGGGGGTCTCTGCCGCCGGTACCGAGCGGAGTTCGGTGGCGCCCGGGGCTCGGTACGGCGAGGAATGAGAGTGGCGGGAGGTGGGGAAGGCAGAGCCGGTGAGGAGGAGGAGGAGGAGGAGGAAGGAGAGGGAGGGAGGACACGTCTTCCTACCAGGCGCTGAATTATTCATCCCCCCCTCCCCGGGCAGGGGGGCTGAGGCCGCGGTAATGAGCCCTTGGGGAGCCCCTCAGGGGGTTCAGCCAACCCGTGGGGGGTCCTTAACCCCTTCCCTGCCGTGGGGGACCCCCGGCTGCGGTGGCGGGTTGGGATGGGACAGGGACAGCTGTCTCCATGTCCCTTGTGCCTCAGTCTCCCCCCGGGCGGGGGTGGGCAGGGGGTGGGGGTCCAGCCGCTCCCACCCTTGGGTGGGCAGTGAGAAAATCTCCTCCCGGGCTGCTCTGCGCTGCACGGGACAGGGACACCACTCCGGGGATATGGCCAGGGGACATCCGTGGGGACATGGGACCCCCAAAAAATCCCATCACCTGCGTGCTGGGGGTCCCCCCCGCCTCCAGCTGCAGCCCCTGGGATGCCGGAGGTGGGGGACCGTGCCCTCACCCAGGCTGTGCCCACCTGCCCCGGCTCTTCCCTGGCCCTCAGTGATTTTCCCCACAGAAAATCCCATGAAAAGCCAATTTTTCCCCCCGGGGAAGTGGGGGCTCAGCCCCCCCGGGCACCACTTGGCACCGGTGCTGCACATTCCATACAGGGGGGGCCTGGGGCATCAAGGGCATCTGTCCGGACCCCGCTGAGGGGGCACAACCAGGGGGTCCCTGTGCAGGGGGACAGCAGGGTCACCAGGAGACAGAGAGGTGGCCCGTCCCCTCCCGGGACGTCCTGGGGCAGTGGCCGTGGAAGCCGCCCCTGAGCAGGAATGAGGAAGGGGGAGCTGGGAACTGGCTCCGTCCCCCGGATCTCCCGGTGCTCCAACGGCTGCGGGTGGCCCCGGGCCAGCAGCCGCCGCTCCAGCAAAATATTTACCCGAGTGGCACCGAGCCATGGACCAGCCTCCCGCCCGCCCGGCACCACGCGGCACAGCTCGGCAAAACACGGCAAAGCTCGGCTCTGCCTGGCAAAGCTCGGCTCTGGGGGACAAATCGTGGCTCTGGGGGACAAATCGTGGCTCTGGGTGGCAAATCTTGGCTCCGGGTGAGAAATCTCAGCTCTGCGTGACAAAGCCCAGCTCTGGGTGATAAAACTCGGCTCTCCGGGTGACAAACTTGTGCCTGTGGCACAAGCGCAGTGCCCACCTGGAGACATCCCAGAGCCTGGCACCAGCACGGCCCAGTGTCCCCACGGAGGCCAAGACTTGGGGACAAGGGAAGGGAGTCCCTCGGTTACCCCCTGCCCAAGCTGGCCCCGTGCCAGGCGTCCCCCGTGCCAGGCTCTGAGCATCACCCCCATCCCGGGACCCGGGTCGTTATGGCAACAGGTTCCCGGGCTCCATCCCGCTGCCTGTTCCCGCTTCTCCCACCCACGAGGACGCCGTGTGAGGGGGTGGCCGGGCCCCCTCCCCTCCCCGCGCTGCGGCAGCGCCGGCACCCGCAGCCCCCCGGGATCGGCACGCACCGCCCGCGCCCGCGCCCACGCTCGGAGCACCCGCGGGTGGCACCTGCAGCGTGGCACGGGGGGGCCACACCGGGGCTGGAACGCGGCAGGGGGGTGGGCACCTTCCAGGCACACGTGTGGCACACATGGTGGCCCTGCTCTTCGCTGGGACGGCCTCGTAAGGGGACCGTGGGCACCCGCGCCGTGCCCGTGCCCGTGCCCGTGCCGTGCCAGTCCCCGTGCCCGTGCCGTGGAGCTGCGGGGGCTGCAGCTCTGTGCAGCAGCGAATCCTCCCTCAGAGAAGAGTAAAAATAGCAGCAGGTTGAGGGAAGAAGCTCTCACCCCCCCACCAGCGGGCACCGGAGAGGAGCCACAGCCACGGGGACGGACATGGCGCGGTGGCACAGGGACAGGGGGCGATGGGGAGGGGGCGTCGTGGGGACAGGGTGCTGTGGGGACAGGGTGCCGTGGGGATGGAGGACACCCCCGTGGGGATGGGGACAAGACGGGGACAGAGCCGGGGACGGAGCGTCGCGGTGATGGGACACAGCAGGGATGGAGCACTGCGGGGACGGGGAATCAGTGGGGCAGTGGGGACAGGGTGCCCTGTCGATGGAGCATCGCGGGGACGGGGCGTGCTGGGGACAGGACAGAGCGACGTGGTCATGGGGTGCACCAGGGACGGAGGGTTGTGGGGACAGGACGTCATGGGGACAGGGTGGGGACGGGGTGCCGTGGGGACAGGGCCCTGCGGGGACAGGGCATCCTGGGGACGGGCACAGCGGGACGATCGCCCGGTCCAAGGGTGAGTGTCGGGGGGCGGGGCCTGTCTGTGAGGGGGCGCGGCCAGAAGGTGGGCGGGGCTCTGTCGGGGCAGGGGCGGTCGGGGGGTTCCAGGACCCCCCCAGTGCCCCCCACGCCTGTACCCCCCTCCGGGTCCCCTGCCCGGCCCTGCGGGGGTGTCCCCACCCAGTCCCTGTGTGTCCCCTCTCCAGCTCCCCCCGGGGTGAGCCCCCCAAGACCCTCTGCACCCCAAGACCCTCCGCACCCCAAGACCCACCGTGGGCGTCCCCCCCACCCCGGAGCTGCAGCGGGGGCGGCGGGTGGGGGCCGGAGCTCCCCCCGGGGCGCAGGGGAGGAGCCGGGAGTGGGAACACGCGTGGGAAGCAGAGCACGCGTGGGAACCCGGGGGGGGGCGCGGGGGGCTTAACCCCTTCCCTGCCGGGAGCCCCCCATGAGACCAGCCTGGGGGGGCTGCAGAGGAGAAGGGGGGCCTGCGGGGGGACCCTCCCCAAATGGGGCTCCACGGGGGGGTGCTGGGGAGGGGGCACCCCCCTGCCCCAGGCAGGGGCACTGGGCAGCACTGGGGGGTGCGGTGGGGAAGCTGGTCAGTGCTGGCAGGACTGGGGGGGCTGCACCCCCATAATCCACCACGACGAGGGGGCTGCGACCTCCTATCCATGGAAAAACGCGAGGGCTCCCACCCTGGCACGAGAAGGGGCTGCGTGCCCATGTTCCTGGTGGGACAGAGGGTTGTGACCCCACAGCTGGCAGGATGAGGGGGGGTCCCATCCCTGCAGCCCAGCAGGGTGGTCAGGGGGCTGTGCCCTCCCTGCCCCCCCCAGAGCTGTGCCCGGTGCCCCCCATGCCCTCACCAGCCCCGTGTGCCCACGGTGACAGATGTCACTCCCAACACTGGCATGGCCGGGCTGGCACGGCCACCCAGGGCTGGCACGGCCACCTGGACTGGGCACTGGCTCAAGGGCTTTGGCACGGGGTGGCCGGAGAGGAGCCGCGGCTGGAGATGTCCTGCTTGGCAACCAGCAGTCACCGGCCACTGGCCCACGCCAGGCCTCACACCCACAGCAGGGGGTGGGCTGGGGGGCTGGGGGCACTGGAGGGTCCTGGGGCAACAGCCCTGGGGTGGGGACCCACCTGGGCAGGGGCTGGGATGGTTTAGGGTCGGCCTGGCTGAAAGGGGGAAACCTTGGAGGGGGAAATTTTGGGGAGAAATATTGGGATGGGTATGGGGGGGACAATTCCAGAGGGTCCCAGGAGGGAAGGGGTGCAGCCTGGGGGTCTCCTCTGCCTGGGGGACACCACACTGGCCGTGCCTCAGTTTACCCACCTGTAACACGTGCCCTCCATGCCCCAAAGCCCCCCCCCGCCCCCTTCCCTGCGGAGGTGAGACCCCAGGAGACCCCAAAACCCATCCTGGTATTCCCACGGCGCCCTGCCAGGGTGGTCTGCGGGGGGGCTCCCAGCCCTGCTCCCCCCAGCCCATCTCTGACCCCCCCGGGGTGGCCGGGCTGCCAGCACAGACCAGTTTGCTGCCTCCATTCCCAGAAGAAAGAATAAAGTTAAAACATCTGTTAATTTATAAACCAATTTAACCATGACTGGTTAATAAATAGCTTCCAGCTGGCACCCCCAACCCGTGCCGGGCGAGGGGGACCGGGGGGGGGCACAGCCGGGCTCGCTGCTCTCCCACAGCCCCCCCGGGGTCATTGTCACTTGTCCCCGTGGGGGTGTCCCCGGGGTCCCCGGGGATTCACTGTGAGAGCCTGGTGCCCGCTGGGGGGGGCACGACCACGGTGCCTGGCACAGGGGGGTCCCGGGGGGATGTAGGGGCTGGGATGGT